TTTTCATCTAAGATGGGCTGAACATTCTCATCTTCATCAATGTTGACCTCGACCATGTTGATCCCCATTGATACTGGCTATACGTACCCAGTATGACCTACAAACGGATCAATATCCAATTTCATCTCTTTCTCCTCGAAATCGAGATGGCCCTTAGTAATCGCTTTTTGGATCATATCCCTGAAGCGTACACAATTATTAGTCCAATGGCCATACATGTTATGAAATTTATAGAACTTTTTCCCTTTCCTTTGCTCGAATCGGGGAATTTTATGAATTTCTTGAAGTAAAATTTGTTTGTCTTTTAATAAAATATCGAATATTTTATCAGCTTTTGTTATGTCAAAACTATATCGTTTTGTTGTACTCCCTTCTAAATTATCTCTTGGTTTTAGCATCTGGCATTGATATGTAGGACCAGGACGCAATTTAGCTAAGTTTATTTTGAAATCCTCACTCAGACCCTCATAATTAACATCTTCATTCTCCGCATTCTCTATATAAGCAACTTTTTCTTTTCAAACAAACCTATCAAACTTTCTCAACTTTTATTTTTCCAACTTAATCTGTTTGATTCATCTTACTTTTTCCGCTAATTGGGCCATATCCCTTAACTATTCGTTCACCAGTTTTTTACGAATTGAAAAATCCAAACCTATAGTAGCAATTTTAACCAATTCGTGTTCAGGTATGTTGGTATAACATCAAGATTTTAATTGCCTGCATCTATTCAAATAGTTGTCTAATGTTTCATGGTTTTGTCTTTTTATATTCATTAAGTCGACTATACTCACTTTAGTTTCACCTCGAAAGAAGTGTTCATGAAAATTCCTTCTAATTGAGCCCAAATGTTAATCAAGTTAGGAGGCAAAGTTGTGAACCATGTAAAAGCATGTTTAGTTAAGGAACTTGGGAAATTCTTCATCTTTAAATATTCATTGTTCCCAAAATCCCCACATTCAACTAAGTACCTGCTATATGTTCAACAGTAGACTCGTTCAATTCTCCCGCAAACTTCGAGAACTTTGGGGTTTTTACCCCTCTAGGCAATTCTACCTGGGTTATGTAGTCAGGGAACGCAGACACAAAATAAGGGCGCTCATTTCGTCCTACCTCGAAACCATGCCTGTTTAATACCCTCTCTGTAACTTGATTCAAATTTTCCTCGAGGTTCCTTGAGGCCTACCCATATTTTGGGGAAAACCTCCATTCCCACCATGATTTTCTACTTCATTCAAATTTGCGCTCATTGCTCTCGAAGGCTGATTATCTCCCATTTTATCTCCTAATTTATTTATTAACTCATATAAAGGGGTGAGTATATTATGCATTTGAGTCAATAATAAATTAACCATGTCATGGTTACTATGGTCCATCTGTTGTTGAAGGGAAATCATAGCTTGATTACTTATACCTGTAGGGACATAGTTACTCTATCGAACCAGAGATCCCTCCTAACTCGTCTCTACATGTTGATAAGGATCTTGCATGATAAATCCCATCCCGTTTGGGTCGGGATTATATCCTTGTGGGGATACATGCATTTGTGGATTTGGCCCTAGATAAGGCAATGGCATCTCGACATGTATGGGTTGAGTAGTTTGCCAATTTGGAGGCATACCCCATGGGTACTCTCGAGTGGCATTCAAAACCTCTTGAGACACATTTATTTGTCTAACCACATTCTCAGGTATTATAGGCGGTGGCGTTGCCTCCCTTGTCAAGACAGTTACATTTTCCACATTAGGATTGGAATTTCTATTTTCTATATCTACTATTTCACGCTCTTAACTCAATCCATACAAGGAGGGTTGCCATCAACATGGTTCTTCCACTTCTAAGTTTCATAAAACATACCTAAAACTAGTTCAATTATGTTTTAAGTCAAACGTGTCCCACTGGGCGTGCCAATTTGTTTATGGTGGAATTCGTTTACGAGTTCTTTTTATTTGAACTAGCACGAAATTGTTTCAATGTAGGTATTTTACAATTAAACTCTCTTAAGAACATAGATAGACGAGACAAAGTGACTAATAAGCATCTATTTCCAGATTTTCATAAATAATTATCAAACAACAATTTTCATGCATATAGACACTTAGATGAATGGAATTAACAATACATATGTTGGCAATACAAACCATTGTCCAATTCACATAATTATCAAGTTACAAAATCATGATTAAATGAACTACAAACTATGGAATTTAAACGAAACTACATTAATCCTAGGAAAAGAAAGAAAATATGGCCAAGAAGTTGTCATACCTAGCAATTCTATGCACGAAACCCATATGTGCAGGCGATGAGTGCTTGAGAGTGCAAGTATGATTTTTTTCGACCTCTGTGAAGTAGCATGCACGTAACCGCTGTCCACTACGTCAATTACGTGGCTTACATGTAACCTCTCGTAACTTTTCATCCCGCGTTTCTTTATTTCTTCGACTAGGCTTAGTAACCGCTTAGGTGTAACTGTCCCAAACTACTCAAGCAACCTCTATTAGAACTACTTGACCTACCCTCGAACACCCACATTCTTTTCGTCTATCTCAATCTTTATCTGTATGACATGTATTCCCATTTGATTTTTCGAGTAGATTTCGAGAGAATTAATTTGTTTCGAGTGCCCCCAACAATACACTATTATTAACAGAGGTTTATTGAAAACTGCAAATTTGAGAGATAAGAAGACTCAAATAAATTGTGATTTCTTATAAAGTTTAGCCAATAGTAGAAAGTGTATTTAAAAGAGTGTGCTACATGCATTTCTCATCCTTTAACTGGCTCTTTAATTCCCCCCTTACGAACTAGCTACACGATAAGGGAGAATAGAAATTGGTAGAGTCATATGCATTAACTCAATTTGGAACATACACTACAAGAAAAAATAGAGTTAACGGGGGTTATTTTTGGCATTACCCGCGGTTAAAACCTCCGGAAAATGTATTTCCTGCGGTTGTGATTTTCGCCGGGAAAGCATCCGTGGCAAGCGATTTACCAGCGGTTTTTGACAACCCCCGGAAATGCATAGCATACCCACGGTTTTGGAACCCTCGTTAACGACATAGTCTACCAGGGGTTTTAAACCCCCGTTAACACCATCATTGATTTTGGCTGTTTGTGATAACCCCCGTAATTTACTACGGGCTTTAAACCCCCGTTAATGTCATCACATAACCTGTTGTTTATATAATCCTGTAATTTACCAGGGGTTGTAAACCCTCGTTAACGCCACACTATATTTTTAATATATTGTTTGTATTTTTAATTTTTAAATCCCTGTAGCTTATAAATGGTTTTTAACCATGTATAATATTTCAATCTATATATAAATTTTGAAATGCACAAGTTATATAAATATTAAAAAATAAAATGAACAAACAATCCACAAATTCAATATATTAATAAGCAAATGTACATAAACAAGTCATCCAAAAAAATTCCTAACAAGCAACATCCATAGTTTAGTAATATCCAAAATGACTTTTAAGAAGTAATGAAAATATATCCAACAAAATATTGATTTTCCTAAAACAAAAAGGTCAACATCTTTCCCT